GTATGGGAAAGCGTTGTATTAGGTCCGGATGACATGGCAAGCGTTCGTAATTTTTTGACAAAACTTATTGATTTTTGTAAAAATTTAAATATTTATTGCATTATTTTTGAAGAGTCAAATTACGATACAAGGAAGTTTATCAAAACATTTTTTTTTATTTACTGTGTGGATGCCTAACGATTTTTTTTCGCGACCCCCAATATTTTCAAGCAATTTACAAAAAATTATATATGTAATCTATCAAACTACAATATTTAAATCTAATGAAAAACCCTGTAAAATTTTGTATTCTAAATCTTAAAAAATATGACGTAACGTTAAAATCTAAACCATAAACATAAAAAAAGTTTTTCTGGAGCAAATGTAATTTATGATTTTATTTTCCCGAACCGAGAGCCTTGCCTAATTCAAAATTGAATATAATTTTTCGTTTAGAAATATTTCAAACGTTTCATCAATTTGAAATGTCTCCTTCTTCAGAATTGAAACGATTTATACATGTTTTTTGATAAATATAATTATATGATTAATTATTAACTGAAAGGGGGGGGAGTACTGTGGCGACGGTGTTGAATAAATAACGCAAACTACAATTGTTGTATTACGATTTGGACTTAAAATTTTTATAAATTTTAAGATATTTTGTTCAAAAATAAAATAGAAGAATGAAACATGTCAAAGACATTTATAAATCGATTACATTCTGAAGAAGATGGCATCCCAGAGGCCAAAAACGTAGAAAGTATTTTTTATGAAAAAAATTATTTTTTTTGGTTTTGAAAAGGGAGGTTTATAGGCTTTTGATTAGAAAAATAGAATCATAAAATTATTTTTTAGCTCAAAAAAACTTTTTAGAAAAATCTGGTAATTTTGAAACTTTCAGCAACTTGTTTTCGTTTTCAAAAATCACTATAAAATTGTTTTTACTGAATCTGCTAAAAGATAAATTTCGAATATTAATTATTTTTTTAACAAGTTTTTATGGAATAAAGTGATATTAATTATTATAATTTGAACATATTTTGGATATTTTAAATTTAAAGAATATATTTGGACTGGCAAAATTCAATTTTGGAAAAAGTCTAGATATTTTTAGAATAAAAACAAGTAATCTGGTACGTCGTACTTTAATTTTTTTCAATTTATGTTATTTAAATAATAAACTACGCAAACAATTAATTTTTTAATTTTTTATAGTGATTTTTGACAAAAAAAAAACAAATCGAAACTCAAATAATTAAATAAATAAGGAATTTAAAAAACACAGATAAATTTAAAAACAAAACTTTTCATTGAAAAAACAAAAAAAAAAATGAAAAAACATACGTTTTTAATTGGAAACAAAATTAAAACTTTCGAAGCTTCAAATTTAAAAAAAACAGATGTTTTAATTCGAAACAAAATCAAAACTTTCAAAAATTAAATTTAAATAAGTGAAATAAGTATTTAGAAAATTCAGATGTATTTAAATTAAAAACAAAAATGAAACTTTTGAAATTTCTAAAATTATATAAAGAATGAAGTTTAACGAATCAAACATTTTTAAATTCAAAAATACAAAAAAATCAGTCGTTTTTGAATTCAAAACAAAATCAAAACTTTCGAAGACTAAAAGTTTGCATAAACAAAAAAATCAAAAAAAACACCAATGGTTTTTAAATTTGAAGCAAAATTAAAACTTTTGAAACTCAATAATATCAAAACAAAATAAAAACTGTCAAAAAGTTTAAATAAAATTTTTGTCGTGTTTTTAAATTCCAATATTCAACTAAAAAATATGTATTTATGTTTAGTTTACGTATATATATAGTTAGTAATACTGTTAAAACTGTTTATATATATAAATATATTTTCTCTCTACTAACTACTATTTCCAATAATACATTAAAACTAAAAAAAATTCCGTATACAAAAAATCAGTTGGGAGACTTAATAGTTTATAAAAACTATTTTACATATATACCATCATTAATAAATTGGCAAGAAATAGTAAACCAACACGATAACCAATTTAACGATATATACAAATGTATATACAACTCTATGCAAGACATGAATTTAGAATTTGTTTATAACAATTATGTATATATAGGAACAAATTATTTATATATATTAAAGCCTTTAAATGTGACTATCCATTTCAAAAGACTTTTTTTGTGATATAGTTTTCTTTCCTACGATACTATTAGTCTCCAAATTCTCTATTACTCTACTAGAATTTACTCTCAAAAAATGGACATAGTAGTAATAAATTATTAAAAAATTGTTGGTTTTAGTATAAATGTGATAACTAGTCTATGCTACGTACGAACAATCCAAAATAATTTATAAAAAATCAGGAATATAATTATAATTTTATGGTCGACGTTTCGGAACCATAATACTTCCCATCACCGCGATATCTGTGAGGAACACGTTTTTAGTTAAAATATAAATGTGAAAATAATTTGTTATAAAATTGTTATTAATATTATAAAATGAATGAAGGAGTATAAATAAATCTCGTTATGGAAAAAATTAAAATGAAAAGTAATATAATGAAATAAATTAAAAAATATACAAGACATGACTCTTTATATTTCATTTTTATATTTGTTTGTACTTAAGTTATTTAACTTATTAAATAACTTTATACTGCAGTAAATGTAATTTATTTTTCAAATACATAGACAAAACCTTAAAAGCATATTTTTTAATATTAAATATTATTTTATGGAATAAATGTTATAGATTTTTGAACTTTTGTTTTATTTTGCCAGGTTGTAATGTTTAAATAAAAGCTATTTCATTCAAAAATTTAATTCCAACGTGTTTATTAAAAATATACTATAATTTTTATTAAAAAAATATATAGTTAAAACCCCAAAAAATAGGCACTATGATATAAATTACTCATTTGTTGATTGTAAATATTTTTTACAGATTTTTAAACTTGTTACTATAAATATGGCATTCTAAAAAAGCTCGTAGGTATAAAACAAGTTTAAAAATTTGTAAAAAATATTTGAAATATATTAAGAAAATAATTTGTGTTATAAGATATATTTTTGGAGTTTTAACTATATATTTCTAAAAATAAAATATATACACGTTAGAATGTATTTGATAAATAAAATAGGTTTTTAACATGACATTTTTTTTGACATCTTTGTCTAATTTATTTAAAATGCAATAAAATAAATATATTGAAAATGTTCAAATTATATTTTAGCATTATAAAGTCAATACTGAAAAGAAATTATTTTCAAAAATTCTTGAATTTAAATTTTTATGAATAAGAAATAATATCTATGAAAAATTTATAAAAAATGTCTAATATTAAAAATCGTAGAAAAAAGTCTTTGAAAATCACAAAGGATTTATCTGATCTGGATTTAGTTTAACAAAGTATCAAATTTTGAAAATGCAATTAAATAAATATGTTTATTAAAAATTATCAGCATTTTCAAATTATATCTTGACATTGCAAAGTGAAAAGAAAAATGAATTTCAAAATTTGAGAAATTATAAGAAATAATATCTATGAAAAATAATAAAATTATTGAAAAATGTTTAATAATAAAATTCATAGAAAAGTGTTTGAGAATTATAAAAAAATAAAAATAATGGATTTAAAAAAAATGTGTTTCTAGTTTTGAATAATTTTAATATTTATATAACTGATATGAAATAGAATCTACAATTTTGTTACGTAACATTGTTTGCAAGCGATTCACGTAATTTTTATGTAACTATTTCGTAACATTGAGTTACGTAATGTAGGTTTCATATTTGCTACACTGAAATTACGTAACTGGTTTCGTGGTTAATTAATATTATAAAATACGCTTTTAAGATTTTTTAAGTCTATCCTGATATTTCTTTAAATAATATAAAAAATCATTTTATAAAATAAGTTATAAGTTTAATATTCGAATTAAAAACAAAATAGGATCCACAATTTTGTTGTATGTAATATTGTTTGCAGTCGAGTCACGTAATTTTTATATAATTATTTCGTAATGGAGTTACGTAATGTAGGCTTCATATTTGTTACACTAAAATTACGTAACTGGTTTCGTGGTTATTTAATATTATAAAATACGCTTTTAAGATTTTGTTTAATGACATATTTACCACAGTCGAAATTTATAAAAATTTATTGTTCTGAGGATTAAACGTAAGATAGTTCCAAAACGTCGTGAAAAAACAGTAAATTTTACTTCTATCCTGATATTTCTTTAAATAGTATATTAAATCATTTTGTAAAATAAGTTATATATTCGATTTAAAAATAAAATAGGATCCACAATTTTGTTATGTAATATTGTTTGCAAGCAATTCACGTAATTTTCATGTAACTATTTCGTAATGGAGTTACATAATGTAGGCTTTATATTTGTTACACAGAAATTACGTAACTTGCAGATAAAGTGGTTCAGTGGGTATTTAATATTATAAAATATGCTTTTAAGAATTTGTCTGATGACCACAGTAAAAATTTATAAAAACATTCGTAATGTCCTGAGGATTCGGATTAAGATATAAGATAATTCGGAAACGTCGACCATAAATTAAATTTAAATAATCAGTAAATTTGACTTCTATTTAGAAGTATTTTTGAATAATATATAAAATCATTTTAATAATAATTGAATGAGTTAGTCGTTTATATTCTATGAAATTATATATAATATTTCTTTAAAAATGTGTTCTAAACAGATCTCGCGATGATGGGAAGTATAATGGTTCCGAAACGTCGACAATAAACTGTATGATAAAAAATCTATTATTGTTGAATAAATTTATATAAATTTCTTTCCATTTTTTGAGAGTTTATTATACATTCATCTTAGCGTACGTAGTTAGAAGTATAAAAATATCCTATATTTTAAATCTTAATATTATTATGATGTATATATTTAAACATATATATATATATATATATATATATATATATATATACATATACATATATTTGTATAGACTTAATCCTAACACATTCAGATGCTACTTTGGTTACTAGAATTTCTGAGATTTAATCTACTAAAAGTGTGATATTTCAAAAATAAGTTCTTCCCTTAAATATATAAACATGAAATATCAAATTAAATTAATATTAATACAATTAATTATTGCTAATTATTTCATTAACAAATCCCAAGTTCTCAGAATCTATTGTCGCGACAAACGGATCTTGTCTCGTTTCCATTGGACTAAAATAAATAATTTAGACTAAAGTATGTATCTTACCACAGACTGATTTTTTTTTCTGAAAATATCCTTGGCTGGTATTAAATTAATAACTGCCACTGTCTTGTGTCCTGTGCCTTGTTACATCATCTCGAGACACATAGTTTGTTAACTTGACCGGTAGAGCACCACTGGTCGTGTTCAACTGGTAAAATTCTATGAGCTGCTGCAGATCGTAAAACCTAAACAAAAAAAATAATAAATACAAATTATAATTCAGATTTCAAACCTCAAATAACTTTATTTCTTTTCCCCCTTACTTTGTTTCCCCTCCGTCCAGCGAATAGACAACATTGCCCGCACAACAGTTTGATCCGTGATTACTTTGTGATGATTGTCTGGTACCTTTTGTGTTCGAGGAATTGTTAATGTTGTTTCTCGAATCATTTTTGTTGTTGCTCGTGTTGGAATTGTTGGACGTGTTGTCGTTTTGTGATTGCTCCAACATTGGCCTGATGTGAGCGTGGCAGGCCCTGCCTGCATGTCTGTAGGTCAACACGAAGTGACCACGAGTGGGGGATGATCGAGACTCTCTGACCAGGAAAATACTAAAAGAAATAAATTAAACTTAATGAATGTATGTATATGTGAATATATATATTTATATATATATATATATATATATATATATATACTAGCTGACCCGGCAAACGTTGTTTTGCCATCAAAAATATTGTGCCGCTTTGCAGAAGTTCTTATAATATACATGATATATTAATAATAATGTTATATTTTTATCACACAAATTTCTTTACATTTCGATAATTAAATCCAACGCATCATAGTGTTTTGTTTATTTTAATATTATTTATGTCAAATAGTGAAATTTTTTTTTAAATCAATGAATAAATTAGATTTCAGTCTGAATCAACGCAGTACCATCATCTAAATATATAATTTTTTATATAAATATCAGATTTTTTACTTTTGCATTTAATTTAAAAATAATGAATGTCAATTTCATAAATCGAAATTTGGTCTAAATTTAATATATGATATAATTTATAATTATAATTTGATTAGCAATAAGTATTATGCTAACAATATGTATTAGGGTGGTCCTTAATATGGACATACTCGAATTTCCTTGCTCCCAGAAGCTTAAATGCTTCTAAATTGATAAAAAAATATTCTCTGAAAGTTTTAGCTCCTAATATTAACTCTAACATAGCCCGCACTTCAACCAAAGTTTCTTGGTCCTTTTTCCTACTTAGTTTAAAAAATATATCAAATTTTTATTGTAATTTTTTTATTTATGATCAAAATAAGCAAATACAATGTTATTCTCAAAATTTTAATTCACTTGTGGCTAAGTTAAAAAACAAATGGAATATTTCCCTTGTTATTTCCATAAAAACTTTGTTTAAAGTGCGGACTATCTTAAAGTTAATATTAGAAGCTAAAACTTTCAGAGATTTTTTTTTCGTCAATTCGGAATCATTTGAGCCCTTGGAAGCAAGGAAATTCGAAAACATCCATATTAAGGACCACCCTAGTATGTATATATCTTGTATATAAAATTTCCATGTCACAAAGTTCGTTCCAAATGGCTTCACAATTTTTTACCAAATTTTATATGCAAATTCAGTAGGTCTGATAATCGTCTACTATCTACTTTTCATAACCCTAAGTAATAAGGGTTGTCCACCCTTAAATTTTTTGAGTTAATTTTTCAAAAAATGTTTTTATTTTTTTATAATGTGGCATTAAAAAATACATACAACCTTAAATTTTTACTTTTTTATCACCAACCCCTATTTTTTATAGCCATTTTAGTAATTCTATCAATTTTCATACCGCGTTCAGTCATATAATATTTTTGACTATTAATTTTAGTTCAAATTTTTGAATTTGCTTTAAAATATAATTTATTTTTATCAAGGGTTGGTTCAACCCTAACACTTTTTTTTCAATTTTGGAGCCAATTATCTTTTTTTTTTTAATCGGAATTGACAAAATACATATAACTGTTTTTACTTTAAAAAACTATGTTTATCTAGGGTTGTCAACCCTTAACATTTTTTCAAAATTTTGAAATCAATTCAATTTTAATTTTAATTTGACCTATTATTTGACATAATTTTAGTTAAATTTTAAACGGTTAGATAGTGCGCAATTCAATGGAAATAGCATGGAAAACATTTTGAAAATTAAAAAAAAAATTTTTTAGGTATAACTTAGCGACAAATTTTGAATAAAACTCATTCATTTGTTCGCTAGATTATATCTAAAAACATTTTTAAAATTTTTGAAAATTTTTTCATGCTACTTCCATACAAAACTTTGATTGAATTGCGCACTATCTAAAAGACAATATTAAGAGCTAAAACTTTCAGAAAATTGTTTATCAATTTGGAAGCATTTGAGTCCTTGGGAGTAAGGAAATTCAAAAATGTCCATATTAAGGACCACCCTAATATATATATATATATATATATATATATATATATATATTAACAAAGTCTAGTAATCGGGCCTAACATCAATAAAAACCTGAAATTCTTTTAAATCCACACGTTTCGGCTATAATCCTAGCCTTCATTCAGTGGTAACTAAAAATGAAATTAAAACTAAAACAACTGAATTGGAGTAAAAAGAAAAAATACAATTGTAAATAGTACTTACAATTAATAAATCTTAGTGTTAAATTGAAAAATTTTAATAATCGATGGTATCAGGATATGGTAATGCACGACACTATGTATTATAAACATAAAACTTGTAATTACACAATATTTTCACAAAATACTAATATAAAAAATCACAATTGAATAATGTGTTGTTCGTAGACTGATTGAAGATATAATGGAGAAAGGACTTCTTAAAAAATATTTTTTACCAAGATTCTACACATGTGCGGAACGAATTGCTAATCCTTTGCGCGTCGTTTTTATTGTTTTGTGAGAAATTTGGAAATACTATCTAAATGAAAGAGATTTGTGTCGCACAGCGTGTGAAGTTCATTTCGTTTATTCATTGTTTTATTGTTATAAATAGTTAAAAAAGATCCTTCTATAATTCTTCGTTTGAATAAGTTGTAGTACAGTCGGGTTAGAAAAGTCCATATTGTGTTTTAAAGTGTAAATATGCTCCGCAATCATAGTTTTAAATTGCTTCGGATTTTTTGAATTTATTTTTATGTTGTTGTAAACGTTTCATTAAGTTCTGGCTTGTTTCTCCTATATAAATTTGATTACAATCTAGACAATTTATTTGATAGACGAGATTTCTAAGTCGTTCGATATTAAAAGGGGTTTTTGTTTTGGTAAAAATAGTACTAGTCGTTGTACTAAAATTGTTTACAAGTCGGAGTCCAGATTTAATAAGATAGCCGAAACGTATGGATTTAAAATAATTTTTTTGAAGAAATTCATGTTTTTTATTGAAGTTATGCCCGATTACTAGACTTTGTTAATATATATATAAATATATATATATATATATATATATATATGATGTATACATACAAAGCTACCTATGAACCTTCAATACTCTAATTTTCTCACATATTATCTCTTTAGTATATAATTTGTACCCTTCGCAATGTAACTATATTATATTACTGCCTTCGGCGTTGAATAAATAAATAAATAAATAATCCATTATCCCTTATCTTACCCGTCTCCTGTCGGCGGCGTCTGCCTATTAACCAGAATAGCGGCCGCCTGCTCCCTCGTCACTCCAGGATGGAACCACTGCTTCGTCAAATGCGACATGTTCTGCTGATAGTTCTGCTGATTCTGCATCAGTACACTATTGCCAGTGGGGCTCTTCGAGAACTGCGACCCCATCATCTGCTGCTGTCTCCGAGACACGTGGTGGTTCGATATCAGCTGAATCGATGTCGGCGGAGTGGAGCCCGAGTTGTATGTGGCGGTGGAGTGGTGGTTCAGGTACAAAGTGTTATTGCCGGGCGCCGAACCGTGGTGATGGTTGAGATGGTGGTTGTTGGTTGGGGATAATTGTTGTGAGGACGGAGATGAGTTGGTGGAGGAGTGGTGCTGGTTACGGTTCTGAGGAGAGAAAAGATTTATTAGAACTATATCATAGTACAGTTGTATTAACTTCCCGTAGGATAGTTATAGTTTTTTTTTCATCTAAACTACAACTGCCTGAGAAGGCATTCAGTAATTGTTGTGATTAGTTATTAACTTCCCGTAAGGTAAGTTATAGTAATCGCAAAAAAAATCGAAAATGAAAATTTTTATATATCTTTACGTTTCAGAGGTTTCTGAACATTTTGGCATACCTTAGAAAAAATGGATGTATGTGTGTGTGTGTGTGTGTGTGTGTGTGTGTGTGTGTGTGCGTGTGTGTATGTATGTGCGGATACAAATTTTCGTCGACGATTTCGGGAACACGGATCAACCGATTTGAATAATTCAAAAAACATTCGATTCGCATTGATAAGGAGACGTGCTGATTAGTTTTTGGCAAAGGCAGGTCTAGCCGTTTCGGAAATACGGGGCAAAAAGTACCGGAAACGGTAACTCAGTTTTTGAGAGAACGGAGCGTCCGATTTTAATAATTCAAAAAACATTTTACTTGTATTGACAAGATAAAGAATTGATCAAATTTTCATAAAGGCAGGCCTAGCGGTTTCGGAGATCTAACGAAAAAAGTAAAAAAAAATGCCATTTGGCGGTCAAAAATGATCATTAGACATATGCACATCAATTTTTAGATATTTTATAGAGATTTAACAATAAGTATAAATTTTGTTTATTTTCCTATGGGTTCCGTATCAATGTTTACCCGTTAGACAGCGACGCCGCGCATACGCGCTTTATATTTTGTCTCTATGCAGTTAAAGCAGTGCGATTGCTTTGAAAAACAAGTTCAGATCTTCCAAAATATGTCAAAACAAAGAAAACATTTTTTTTCAAAAAAAAAAAAAATTAAAATTTTTTTAAAAAAAAAAAAAATAAAAAAAAAAGTAATTTTTTGTCCAATTTATAGTTTGTCAAAAATCTTATTTTTTCGAAGTAAATTTTTTTCAAAATGTTAATCGTTTTTAAAAAAAATAATAATTTTGGTACGGGAAGTTCTAGCAATTTGCCTTAAGGCACGATGCCCTAATTGCCTTAAGACAGAATTCCACTTACAGCTAGTTAAATAAGTTTTTAACACTAATTTTGGTAACCATCCAGCATACGTAGCAAACTGAGAATTTCTTTGAAGATTTATAACTTATGAAACCGTATTATCAATATCGCTAGTACGACGTATAAAATATATAACGTTGTTACCATCCTACATATAGCTAAACTTTTAGTAAAAAAAAAATGATGATAGGTACGATTGAAGCAATATAACTGCTATAAATACCGACAGGACTAAAAATCAAGGACTTCAACTCTCAAATAATATTTACAATTTTGGAAGATAAGAAAGAAGATTCTAATTTTCACTTACATACACATATGTTGAAAAAATTACACTAATACGGGAGTTAATTTAATTGGTATTAGCGTCGGGACTGGTGTAGATGTCATCCATAAAATAGTCAGAAATCATTCGGTAAAATATGAATTTTAGAGAGAATTCATCAAGGATTTACATTATTTTGGATTTATTCAGGATAAATCCATTGTTGTCACATAAAGGAATTACGGGAAGACAATGTACAAGGCAGGAACTTTTTATTCCAATTAACTTGCCGTATAGTTGCAACAAGAATTCAGAAAAAAATCAACTAAGTACAAGTACAAAACAGATTCTCTAAAAGAAAATATTCCAGATAATGATTTAGAAAGATGATAGGGCAAACAAATCAGCCAAAAACGTAAAAAATGCGTGTGTAGAAAATACACTCCAAGAAAAAAATCGTGAAAAATTGGATAAAACAGTATAAAATGAAGATTTCGTATTCTAAAATAAAGAACAATATTGTATTTGTATTTATAAACTCTTAAACTAGCATTAACTCTTCATTCAATACCGAAAAATACCGATTTTGCATGACCGGTCATTTGACCGGTCGCGGTAGGAATAGCGAACATGAAATGTCGGTAGGAATAGTGTTAAAATACTACCCATTAGTAGCATTTCAAGTTAGTATAATAAATATAAATATGTCACAATAATTGCAAGCAGATAATAAATATAAATATGTGTGAATAATACAAGTACTATACTAAATATATAACTATACTAAGTCTAATGGATCTAATCTTCTTAGTCTCTTGACAATGTTCGCAGAAAGTAGATCCTTTGCTAGTTCATTTGACTTATATTTCGCAGCAAATCAGGGTAGTTATAGTAATGGGCCAAAAATCGAAAATGAAAATTTTTGCATTTCTCGGAATTTTGAAGGTTTTTGAACATTTTACTGGCATACCTCAGAAACTAAATGGATCTGTGTGTGTGTGCGTGTGAGTGTTTTGTATGTCCGCATTTTTTCGTCCACGTTTTCGGGCGCACGGATCATCCTATTTATATGATCCAAAAAACATTCAGTTCGTAATAACGGGGAAAAGTGGTTATTAGTTTTTGGCAAAAGCAGGTCCAGCCGTTACGGAGATACGGAGAAAAGAGTGCAGAAAATAGAAATCGAGTTTTTGAGAGAACGGAGCATCCAATTTGTATGATCCAAGAAACATTCAGTTCGTAATGACGGGGAAAAGTGGTTTTTGGCAAAAGTAGGCCCAGCGGTTTCGGAGATACAGAGCTAAATGTTAAAAAAATGGCAGTTTTTGAAAGAACTAAGCGTCCGATTTAAATGATTCAAAGAACTTTCTGTTGTTTCAACAAAATAATTGCTTTCGGAAAAAAAATTGTTTCTAATTTTTTTTTCAAAATTTTTTTGTAATTTTGGATTAAAAATTCAAAAAATTACCCAGGCTAAGCACAGTCTAAGCGCCGCTCTGGTACAAATGTTTACCCACTGAAGCACTTTTCCAATTTTGTGAAAACTATTAAAAAACGTGAAAATGCCCCGCCAAGCTAAGCGCAGTATAAGTGAAAATGTCGCACAGAATTATTTGCAAATGCGTTTAGACTGTGACTATACGGAAGCACTTTTTCAATTTTGTGCAAATTAGGCAACTATTTTTTTTTTTTAAATTGAATTCGAAATCGAAAATGACGATTGTTAATGTTCTGGAAATAAATTGATTGATTTATGATTTACATTTGATTTGCTCGGATATATCGAGATATCAAAAATAGTGAAAGTTACAGTATTTGTAATAATATATTTGAAAACGTTTAAAATTTCTCGAATATATCATTACGGTACGGAAAGTTCCAGCAATTTGCCTTAAGGCACGATGCCATGCACCCCACTAGTTTTTTTTACTTACCGGTATGATATTACTGGAATTCGTCACAATGAACCTATTATCTCTGTCACTGAATGGAGGAGGTTGTTTTCTTTGTGTGGGGCGCCATCGGCGCCTCCAGGAGCACCCTTCGGCGTCCGCCACTGCCAAAGCCTATAAAAAAAAAAAAAAATCGTAAGTGCATTTTTTTGGTTACATTTACGTTTCAAGGAAGTCCGAACATTTGGGCATACCTTAGAAAAAAATTATGTAAGTGTGTGTGTGTGGGTATGTATGTGCAGATGCAATTTTCCGTCGGCTATTTCGAGAGCACGGATCAACCGATTAGAATGATTCAAATATCCGATTCCTATTGATGAGCTGATAGTTTTTGGCAAAGACATGTACAGCCGTTTCGGAAATACGGAGCAAATAGTGCAGAAATTGGTAATTCGGATTTTGAAAGAACGGAGCATACGATTAGAATGATTCAAAAATCACGTACTTGTATTGATGTTGCAAACAATTGATTACATTTAGCGAAGGCAGGTCCAGCCATGTCAAAGAAGCAAAAAAAAGTTAAATTGACATTTGGAGGCCAAAAATGATAATTTTGAATTATTTTTTCCAAATCAAAAACCAAAATTCCTAAAAAAAACAGGCATAATGCTTTAGGTCGGCGCAAAAATTTATATTAAATTAATTATATAATTCTTAATGACTAAGTTTGTGGTCGACATTTTGTAAAAAGTGCGAGTACAAGTTCCATTGCCGGTCTACATCGCAGTGCACAATTGAAAACAAAATTTTGGTATATAAAATGAAGGTCAAACTCAACATATTGCGTTCACAAATTAATCTTTTATTTACCGTTATATAAAAAGACTATATCTCATATAAAATGGAAATCATGTCTGGATCTACATTCATATGAGTTAGTTGCAATAAACTGTCAAAAAGCTATGTATTTTCTGTGCAATCTATCAGGCGTTAAACATACAAATCTAACCTCCAAAAGACACAAAGGTCTTCCAATTTTGTCATAAGTGCATATTTCTGTTGTCACTTTGATAAACTTGCGTGAAGTCTAACTAAATGTAATATTCTGATATTCGTGTGTTTTGGGGGTTAGATTTTTGTGTAAGATGCCTGATCGAACAGCTATCGTGACTACCAATTTATAAGAAGATATACCCGTAACTTCTATTTTAACTATAAAACTTCTATTTTATTTAGAATTGTCTATATTTGTCCGCAATAGT